GGATTGACCACTTGATTTTTTCATTCCACCAAAGTTTGTAATGGATCATGTTCATTCTCTCAGCAAAAAAGTTGTCTAGAGTGGTTACTACCTATAATGCGACTAATATTATTGGTGGAATAAGAGCTTACCACGTGGACAAACTGAAGACGAGACGTGACACGCAAAGTCATCTAACTGATCTAATAGAAGTCTTAGCTTGTTTGGCATCGTATCGATCTGAAAACATGCAATTTGCTGTTGACGTAAAATCTGCTAAACATCAAATACCTTGGAGTTTCTTGAAAATGCGTAATTTCTATGCCGCCTAACTAAGTTTAGTTGTACACTAGTTCGGATTAAGACTAACTTAAGCTTCGGAGTGTACGTGGTACCAAACCAGTACAAGATTCTATTTACAGGTCTACTTCGAATCAAAAGTCGACATGTCACCTCGTTCAAATAATCCTCCCTCAACAACTAACATTTTTAAATATATTAGTTATATTTGTTACACTTCTAAAATTGTCTATTGCCCATAAAAGGTGAAGATTCAATGCATGAATACATAAAGAGTAGTTTTCTTGTACGATGGGCCAACAGATTTCTTATTCTACTAAAGTACATAATGGGTCACGTTTGTAATCTCAATTAACATTAAAAAAATTTAAAAAAAAAATAAAAAGTTGTACAGAGTAATTACTACAAATGTGGCCAACACTTTTAGTTTTGCTAGTGATATGCTAGGTCAATAAAAAGGGCAAATTCAATGCATAAATACATGACAAATAGTTCTAGAAGTAGGATATTGACATACCAAAATATGTAATGGGTCGTGTTGGTCACTTCGATAACAAAAATTTCTAGGGACCGTTTGTTTTTCGGAAATGTAGATGCCCGACATCTATATTAATTTAACTATTATTATATATTTTCAATCTAAACATAGTTTAACTAGTCAAAGATATATATCTTTAAGCAAAAGTTGAGAAGTTTGAATTTGAATTCTCGTATTATCTTTTGAGAAAAATTATATATTTTTATTATGTAATTTTACCCTTCTTAAATAGCTTATAGTCAAGCACAAGAGAACTAATTATGTTTTTTTAGGCCATTCATCTAACCCATATCATGGAAGAAGATCAATCACCTGGCTTCTAGTCCTAATAATTATTTGTAAATTATGTATACTAAAATGGTCTAAATTTTATTTTAGTCCTTTAACTTTCATGTGTACTTACTTTATCTTTGTCCTAAATCTTCAAATATTCTAGTTTAGTCTCTCAAATTTGCATAAAAAATTGTTTTAGTTCTGGATTTTAGTTTTTCAAAATCATTTAACGATTTAAATCCACCTCAAATATTTGATTACCAAGGTCCCGTTTGATAACGATTCTTTTGTTTTTTGTTTTCTGTTTTTGAAAATTAAGCTTAAAACCTCACTACTTCCACTTCTGTATTCCTTTGTTTTGTTATTAACTTTTTAAAAACTATTTTAAAATGTAAGTCAAATTTTTAAAATAAAAAAATATATATAGTTCTCAAAAACTTGTTTTTGTTTTTAAAATTTGACAAAGAATTCAAATGTGTTAGGAAGAAATGTAAATAACATACTAAAGAAATGGTTAGAAAAACAAAGCATATACATCAATTCTCCAAATATGTCAAATCAAAAGAAATATACATGCTTACCAAAATCTAGCATTTAAGCTTTTAGGCTCACTGATAGTTTAACGTAAAAGATCTTACGTTCAAACTCTCCTATAATAATATAATGTCATCTCTGAGCTAAAGCTTTTAGGTTTAGTTGCGATAAGTACCGAAGCTCCTCGAGAATAAACATTTCAAAAGCTATATATGTATTATATCATATTTTACACAAATACACATCTTGTAGGGTGATGGAGAGATTTGGGAAAGAGTAGAGAGTCAACAATGGGATATAAAGCCAGTGGACCAAACTTTGTCTAAAGGATGAGTTGGAATTTGAGGGCAATGGCTTTGTTAAGCAATTATGATGGAAGATAGAGGGGTTTTGAGAGTGACATTTCTTGCATATCTCCAAAGTTTTCTTCTCTCTCTCAAATTCTTATCCTCTCTTTTCTCTTGAGGAGCTGTCTTTGTTTGGTGCATATCCTTTGCTCGTGGACTTGTTTCTTTCACATCCAAAATCACAAACCTAATCTCATATTTGTGTCCCACATCTCTTGGTATGATGTGTTGTGTCTTGTGTAGGGCGTTGTTAGCTCGATCGGTTTCAGTATTTCAAAAGTGCTTTTGATTTAACGGTGAAGTACGACTTTTGGAAATGACTGTTGATGTTTACTTGATTGACAAATAGTTTATAGTTGAAGAAGATAATTAGTAAAAGAAGGAGAGATTTAACGGTGAAGTAAGAAAATAATGTGTCTCGTAGGGTTGTGAATAGAGATTTATATTAATCTAATGAAGATTCGATATAGTGGGTATAAATAAAAGTATTTCTACGTGATATCTACTAATAAGCCAGAATTTATGTGATGGATATGTCACGTCAGTTTTTTCATTAACAATAGGGGTGTATGCGATTTAGGTTGGGTATACGGATATTAGTTTGAGAAAAACTATACATTCACATCGAATCCAAATTTTTCTTGAAAATTGACCACCAAAACAATCGACAACAGTTGAACTGACCTAACTGATTGGTTTTTCGATTTTATAATTCCAAAAATCGAATCAATCAACGAGTATGCTTCAAACTTAACTCAGTATGACAGGTTCCATCATCAATTTTTTTCGATTTGTTAAGATATTAATTAGGTAAAATACAACCACCATGTTGTATTATGTTATACACCTAATTAGAATACATAGGCCAAATCTATAATTAGGGTTTTTTTAGGGTTTGAAGTGTGTTTGGTTAATATTGCAAAGGAACATAAACAACATTATTGTAATTAATCATTGATCATCTGGAAGGCACAAAACTAAGGTAAGATATTGATGCAAAATCACAATCAAAGTTCTTAATAATTTCCATTTGATTTAAACATAGTACAACTCATATATTTTTCACTCCACAAGATTTGATGTGCAATGGAGTTTCATGTAATGCAGACAAAACAAGGAAGAGACTGCTTTTGGTGGCACTAAATTCTATGAGCCAACCATCAAAACTTTGGATTATATTGAGATGTGATACAATTACAAACCCTAAAATGTGATCATATTATTGTACATTAATGGAGGTGACTTCAAAAGTCACTATATGGTCTATATTAGTACAATCATTTGCAAAAATATATTTACTTACAATAATCTCATATCCACGATATAGAGCGATTATTTCATTTGTTAACGAATTCTACTCCATGAGTGCTACATAACGACTCTACTCTCTCTATGCGAGGGGAGTTCTATTTGCTCGCTTTAAATCTCGTCCTTTGTTTCCTTTATTTCATCTGTACTGAAAAAATGATTCTCACGATAGTTCTTTCTGAGATTCTTAACATGTCTTTTCAAAGATGGTGGCTCTTTTGAGTTCGCCAAGACCTGAGTCTCATTTTTGGATCGAATGCTCATTTGAGCTTATTGGACTCTAATATCATATCAATATTCATGGGGTTTCATGTCAAAACTAATTGGTGATGAGAATCGAATGCTCATTTGAGCTTATTGGACTCTATTCATGGGGTTTCATGTCAAAACTAATTGGTGATGAGAGGAGTAGCTCATGTTTATTATAAACTTTGGTCTCTTTTATCTTTTTTATATAAAATCCCTGGCCGTCTTTATGTGTCTTGCAATTCTATTCTCGTGCACCTTTAACCCGGTATTGTAACATATGTAGTACCCCCCATGTTGCATTACTCATATATGTCAATAATCTTTATTATATTTTGGCAAAGCTTCAAAGTGCCACTACACAAATAAATGTTTGTTCAATTCCGTCAATAATTCAAAGTATATTATATATCCTAAATCTAACCTATACGTTTAAATTAAAATTCATGACATATAAATGAAAGACTAAGGGGAATATAAGAAAACAAATATCAAGATTTGGATATTCTTGAAAAATAACGATTTCTCTGTTTTCCTATTTTTGAAACAGTTTTAAATTAAATTTTCACTCTCAAAATTGTCTAGATATAGTTTGAGCCCATAATATTAAAGCCCTAGCTTTTTAAGCCCAAGCTAATTTGATTGAGCAGCCTGGTATAAAACCCAATTTTTACCTTTCTTTGCTACAACTGATTCTTTTGCCACTTGATTTAATTAGTTGGTTTTTTGTTAGGGTCGGTGACATATGTCATAATCAATTAAGACATATATATTTATATTTGACTACTTTGATTTTGATTAAGTGGGTAATTAGTTAAGAATCATTGAAACTAAATTAAAATAATACCTTTTGTAATAATTAAGTCTTTCAATTTTATCTTATATATAATTAATTAATTAATCAATAAGTTTCATGGAAAAAATATTTTTATCATATTTTTTAAATTTTGAAACCTAAGCCTTATGTCAGTGGATTAAGATTTAATAACATGCTTGAAGTTTGAACCATCTCCCCCTTCAATAATATATATATATATATATGTATATATTTGTATTTCAATTTTTTTTTTAAAATAAGAAGAAGATGCTATTTACTTTAGAAGAAAAAAGGAAAAAAAAAAAACTTGAAAGCAAGTTGGCCATACTTAGGTCCTAACTAGTAAAGATCTATCTTGTGCTTACCACCCTTGAATGTTTGACAAGAGAGAAATACAAAAATATAGACATTTTTTTTGGTATAGAAATAAATCCTTACTACCTAAGTATTTTCCTTGATCTAATATCATAAGTGCCTAAAAAAATTGCAAGATCAAGCATAATAAGAGCATAGATCAAAGGGTAAGTTAAAATGATATTCTATTTTAGTCCGACTTTAAATCATTCAGTTAATATATCTGCCATATTATGGTGAGATTGTTTCTTTTTTTTCTTTTATGCTTTCTCTGAAAATCTATTTCAAAGAGCAGGAAATTAGATTTAATTGAGATGAAAAGTTTGGTATATCAAATATCATTTTGATGTGTATTACAATTGTATGGATCAGTAACCTCCCTATACAGTTTTGGATCTAAGGAAGGAAAAAAAAAACATTCAAGATCAAAAACAAATCTCTCTGTTCTTTACAATCTTATTTTCTGATCTCTCTTTCTCCTGTGTGTTAGCCATAAGCTGTCAGAAACTCAAGAAAGTTGCTTCAATGGAAGTTCATCAATGGCGGCTCTCTCTCTCTCTCTCTCTATATATATAGAGTTTCAAGGTTTTTATGAACAACCCAATCCTCTTGCTTCTGATCCCTTCATGATCCTCAGCCTCTTGCAAGAGGAGATGAACATTCTGCATATATTTTGAAATTCTTGGATCAGAAAAACGTTCTTTCGATTAATCTTAAGAGCGAGAAGGAAGAAAAGAGAGCGAAAAAAGAACTTACTCCCATGGAACATCGCCCACGAGCATCCAATCGCCATCTTTGTCTTCGTAAGTAGGAGCGTAATCCGATCCATTGAAACCTTCCTTCTCTGAGTAATCACCTGATGAATTTAATCGAGTACTTGTTAAATTACTATTCCACTGGCTATAAAAGCTTGAATCTAAGTTGATGAGCTATGATAAATTTAACTGGACTGAATTTTCTCTTACCGAGGTTGAATTTGAACATGTTTTCCAAGGCCTTCACGAGCTCTACGTAGCTTTTGTAAATGGTAAGATCCATCTTCCTTAGATAAGGAGCTCCATCCATGCTAACTTTCACATACGCTCTGGAGCAACTTTCTCCCTCGGTTTTCTTTCCGGCCAAAATATTTTTTCGATATGATCGAATCGGTGGCCATCCTACAACTTGTGCCCTGCAATGCTTAACAATATTAGTTCAAGGAAATTTTAGGTCTTAAATAATATCTTAGACCATCGTCTCACTTGCCTATTTATCTTAGATCTAACCAATATATCTCCTTTACTTACTTGGAGGGAGGAGGGTGGGAGTCATTTCTGGCATCGGAAATGCTGCTGTGACTTTCTTTATCAATCTCCGAAAAGGGTCTCTTGTTGGACTGCGACCCGTGGCGGTGGTCGGGCTCGTCGTCGGAGCCGGGGAGGCCGAGGCGGAGCTCGGTGGCTCTGAGGTTGAGATCTCGGTGGTCGGAAACTGCCAATCTCGCCATTGTCTTGCAGAGTAGAGATTGAAGATTTTGGGAGAGAAACTGGAAATTTTGAGACTTGAAGTAGTAAAAATTTGGGAAGATTTGGGGTTTGGCAGAAAGTTAGCAATGGAGGGAGAATATATAATGGGAGAAGAACATGCTATGGGTGTGCATGAACTCTGCCAGCAATTATGTGGCACGTGTCACCTGTTTGCATCAATTATTTTTATACATATACATGCTGTTAGATTTTTTATTTTCAATAGGAAAAGAAAAAAGAAAAAAGAGTCTGGTTGTAAATACGCCACGCAATATGTAAAATTAGAAATAAACATGAATTTAACTTAACAGAAACTAACAATTGTTTATTGGTCAGCACCTAAGTATTATTTTGACGTAAACGTCTATATCTGTATCCTCTCTTTTATGAATATGTGCCACGTCGTAGGAATTCTTGTTGTGATACGAGTAATACGATACATGGCTGAATAGGTATTTGACGTGTAATTTAGATTAATTTTTTAAATATTATATTTTAGCCACTAAAAATACACAAAAATTTTGTAACTATATTTTTTTTAATATCGCATGGTAAAGGTAGGGTAGAGTTTAATATTATGAAAAGTTTTATTTATTATTATTATTATTTTAAGAATGAAAAGTTTTATTTAATCCACCTTAAGTCGCTAGGTTTAGGGGACAAAACAAAAATAAAAAAATAGGTATAATAAATTAGAAAATATATTAAATATGAAATAGAAGAGGATGACACGTGGTATGGAGCATCCCGTGTGTGGCAAGCGACAGATATGAATGTTGGCAAAAGGGGGGACACGGTGGAGGCTGCGGTCCGACGTGGAAGGGACAACAACAGCAAATTGTATTGAAAAGACCTTGGACCAGGACTGACGGCCAAGATGGAGTTTAGGGAGAACCGGATGGTGGACCGTCCGATGAAGACAGGGCATGTGAGTAGTGGGGCCCACGCGGGATTGATTGTGGGACCCACAGGTTGATTTGATTGACATTTATTTAGGAATTGCATGTGGGGTTGTCAAAAAGTGGCCTTTGGAACTGTTCCGCTTTGAGTTTGATTGTCTCGAGAATTTTAGGAACTTGTTTCGAAATTGCCTATTTAAAAACATTAAAAAGAAAAATAAAAGATTTCTATTTAACCGACCGACTTCTAATGTGAATAAATTCAAATGAAATTCAATCCATAATCAGAATGGAAATGTTATTCCTGTGTAATACAAATTTTTTGAAATCTAATCAGAATCAGTTGATATTGTTTATTCAAACTCTCTTAAATCGAAATCGGAATCAAAATTAGATATATAGCAATTACTAGTATTTTTTCTCCTTGTTAATTAATTACAAATATATTATTTCGCTGATTTTTTTTTAATTACAAATCTCTCACAGTAATTCATTACAAATTTTAAAAATCTAACTTTTAAACTTGAAAAATCAATTACGAAATCTAACTTTTAAACTTGAAAAATCAATTACGAATAGAAAATAATCTAAGTCAAATAGTTAATTAAAATTTTAATATGAAAAAAATCGATTAAAAAAAAGTTGAGGAATATTAGATATTTAATTGTTTAATATGGAATATGGAAGATACATAATTACATAAGATTTGTCCGAATTTAATTACATCATCCCAAATTTTTTTTCTTTTTTGTCTTTCCCACTCTTGCCATATTTGTTGTCCATCAAATCTCAGTCCAATATTGATCCGAAATTTATGAAATCTTGATTTTTTTTTGGTAACGGACAAATCTTATGCTATTATTAGATCATGCAAATCTTTTTTCACCCTAATTTATTTATGGGAGGATTTTTTTTTTATTCAGTTGTTAATTCTCAATTGGTAAGTCATTCCTAAATTAAAATGTTAGATTTTTTTACATATTAGATTCAAATTAAAAAGGGAGTGTAAGGATTAAAGGGAGAGATTGGTGGATAATTTTACTTTAAAAAACAGAGATATTTTAGTAAATTTACAAAGATAAAAAGTGGAAAATTGTCACAAATTAGAATGAAGGGATCCCAAACTAATTTTTTTTCAGAATGGGTCATCCATCCAAAATAAATTATTGGAGGGATCATAAATCTCAATTTTCCAATGAGAAACAAAAAAAACTTAGAAATGATAAACACGAACGATTATTAAGGTACAGTAACCATCTCGTTTTTAAAAAATATGTCTGCGTTTTTCAATAATAACCTTAGTAAGATTAAGGGTTAGTACATTGATGTTATTTAAAGATCCTAATTACATAAAATGATGGAATGTATAGAATTTACACATTTGTCATGAAACAACCTTATTTAAGAGGGTACCCATCACATAAATTACTTAAAATCCTCTTGTATCTACAAATTCATTTTAAAATGCAAAATTGATTAATTGGAAGGTTATAATTTGGATCCCATAATTTTAGCTAAACGATACTTTCCAAAAATAATTAAAACCCCAAAACATTAAAAAAAAACCTCCCAAAATATCCCCAAATCCAAAAATAACAATTGTCCAGACCATGAGACGTTTAGAACTTCAATTTTGGAGGACCCTTTCTACAGAACTATTTGAGACCAGCCAAAGGTTAGTATCATATCTTATGTATATATAACTATAAGATATATACACATTTAAGATATATTAACATATACAATATATCCTCATATATACAAATATAAACGGGAAGACTAAGACTATGAGACGTTTCGAACTTCAATTTTCTATACTCTTTCTACAAAATTACTTGACAATGCGAGCCAAAGATTATTATCATATCTTATGTATATATAACTATAAGATATATACACATAAATAAAATATATCCCCATAAATATATCAATCTTAATGGGAAGACTATTAACTTATGATTGATATAAACAGAACGGGACAGGAGACAAGGAACGCACTGCTCGACGTTGGAAACGTGGAAAAGACGTCGATGGAAACTTTACTCGACGACGGAAACTGAAGGTCTGGAATGACGGCGAAGAAGGAATCAATACCTCGTTGACGGAAGCCCTGAAGGTCTGAAATGACGACGATAGGGAACAAACACGGTGGTTGGAGATGGCAGCCGACGACTGGAAACAAAGCACGGAGATGGTAGCAGACGAATTAAGCGGAAATAGAACATTAGGAAAAATTCAAAACTTGTTTTAACAAAATTGGAAGTTATTAAATGGCTTAAAGGAGAAAAAATCTTTTTTTGAAAGAGAGATTTGAGGAATTAGTGTTGAAAAATTGAATGGGCCACAATAATTAAATGAATATAATTACAAATTAAGGATTAAAATCTTTTAAATTTAAAAACTATAATAAAATAAAATACAATAAATAAGGGTAGAATCGGTATTAACAGAAAATCCTACCTACAAATATTTAAAAGTGTAAAATTTGAAAACTAAAACATTTATGAAATTAAGATTCATACATAGCTCTCGCAATATATTATCTCCAAGATTAATGGGGGTATTGTGCTTCTGCATTTTCCTTCTAATTATTTTCTCGTGTCCTCGTATTTTCGAAAAGACTTTATTTCTCTTCTTCAGTTTTTAAATTAAAAAATAGGATGGAAAGGGTGCCAAATAAAGGGAACTGGTGGGCTACTGTATAATATACCATTTTAATCAACCATGTCAACAAATTTAGTTCAAACCATATTAGAGCTCATTTTAATCTAAAGGACTTCTTCAGTTGACTGCAAATTCATATCGCAGCGTGTTCGATGATTTAATAAACTCTAACTAAAACTTGAGTAATGGCCAAATTTACTACACTCTAATGAAAAATATACCTAAGTTTTATATTTATAACTTATATTTGTCAACAAGGGTCGATACTTGTTTTTCAGAAATTATGCAAGGGTCAATTTTGGTATTTACTCCCTACCCACATCCGCCCATCGTTGTATGGAGACCGTCAAAATATCAATTGTCTATTTTACCCCTCCTACATTATACCACTCACATGTTTTGTTTCCAGCTCAAGACTAAATCACTAAAATCAAGAAGTTGAACTAATTTAGATTAAGTTTCAAACTAAAATTAAGGATTTTTTTCTTAATAATGTGAATTTTTAAAATATTTACCAAAATATGCCTCCTCTCAAACTAATTACAAGAATAATGTTTTGAAATTCATAGGTCGTCTCTTCAGAGACGACCTATGAGCCGGCATTAACGTGGCGCTTACTTAGCACCACGTTAATTTTTTCTTTTTAAATTAACCATGGCTGTCTCTTGAAGAGACGGCCATGTCTTTTTTTCCTTTTTTTTTAAAATAACATAACATAGAGACGACATGTTAGGTTTTTTTTTTCCTTTGGTCGTCTCTTCAAGAGACGACCATGGCTTCTTTTTTTTTTTTTTTATAACCTAACATGTCGTCTCTTGAAGATCGGCGGTGGAAAAATCGGCGTCGGCGGAGACGGCGGCGGCGGCTGAATGTATTTTGGGAGATATGGGGATAGGGGTGAGGGGTTAGGGTTTTTAAAACGAATGGTGTTTTAAAAACCCACCCTAAAGAGACGACCAAGGCGCCAGCTGGCACCCATGCACAATTGGTCGTCTCTTAAAGAGACGACCAAGCGGGATTTGAAAAAATCCCGCCTAACATGTCGTCAAAAGAAAAAAAAAGACATGGTCGTCAAGAGACGACCATGGTTAATTAAAAAAAAAAATTAACGTGGCGCTGAGTAAGCGCCACATTTGTTGGTCGTCTCTTTCAAAAGACGACCAACTAATGCCAGCTCATAGGTCGTCTCTTGAAGCGACGACCTATTAATTTCGAAGTATTATTCTTGTAATTAGTTTGAGATGAGGCATATTTTGGTAAATATTTTAAAAATTCACATTATTAAAAAAAATCCTAAAATTAATCTCTCTCCATCTTACTAAATTACAAAATAAAACTAAAACACTTCCTATTCTTCCATTCTTTCTTCCTCACGTTTCTAACTTTCTAAGATTGTAATTTGGTACCAGTGAGGTTGGATTGTGCTTATCTCTAGAATATCGATATTCTTCCACATTTGGTACAAAACATTCTTGAACTTCGCTCTTCCCTTCTATTC